TTCAATCATTCGATATATCTGCGCGATGGGATCGAAAGACTGGCAGACTTGCAGAATTCCTTGCCCTACACCGAGTTTGGGCGCTGCATATCTCATGCCAGCCTCTCAGCTCTCCCCTGGAGCCAGGGAATCCCATATCTTCCCATTAACCTAGGGGAAAAAAACGCATCGAGCCGCGCAATTTTATTTCTCTGGGGGTTACTTGCCAGTTAATGGGATTTAATTAATTAGTATTAATTATTCGTCTTAAGACTGCGAGATGTGCCGAGTAGGGGCGCAGACAGGAGGTCAGAGATTGACAAAGTCTTGTCCAGAGGCCGAGGTGGGGCTCGCTGATGGTCCTTGGATGCTGCAGTGTTGGCAGGAGAAATGGGCTCTCTCCGGGATCCATCTAGGAAATTACTAGACGCTTTCACGTCAGTTGCCTCGTGTCGGGATTTCGGTCTTGCCCGTTTGCGGGACTACTCTGTCGAATCTCCCAGGGTTATGTCGCTCTCGATTAAGGGATGTGGGATTAAAGAATGCCACTGGAATCATCGAGCGATCCACCGTTAAATGGCTAATTGATAAATTGGAAAAGAAATGAAGTCTTCAACCGAACTGCTTTGTAATTAACGACGTTAGTCACGTGCCACCTAGATGTTAAGAGGCGTCATGTCGACAGCTACTCGTTCTTATTTTATCGAAGCCAGGATTCCGAAGTCGATTTATTTCCGTCACCCCCTAAAAAAGGCGACCCGGAGATCCTTTTTTAAAACGCCATCAGTCTCGCTGGAGCAATTTTATAGGGGATTTCTTATGTTCTTGAATTAAATTGGCTGTATTCCTTGCATATCAAATTATCATTTTTTCCAGACAATGACGATTCTAAGGGTTGGTTTATGAAGGGTGGTTTCGTGATTGCAACGAGCTCGATTCATTGCACTCGGACTCGTGAATCCATTGTCGTCTTTTGTCGACTTCAGGCAAGGTAGCTGCAATCCAAAGGATGGACCCTTTGATGGGGTTTTCAAAGGGAACGGGAGACAGGAAAAAGTTCAATAACAGAAGTAACGTCCGCAACTTGACGCCGGACAAAGAGAACGGCGTCTTGTTTTTCGTCGCGATCGTCCCGAGTCCGCGGAAATTAACGAGGAAAACGTGTACTTCGGTGTTCCTTCATTCAGTTATTTATTTATTGGAAATTCAAGTTCGAGTATACTGAAATTGTATTAGCTGGACGCATGGAGAAACTGTAGAGGTGGCGTGAAATTTTCATGAAATCTCGAGATGGAGAGGGAACTTTAGTTGTTCCATTATAACTTCCAGATAGCGTCCGCGTCTTCTTCCATCAGTCATTTTGGATGACAGAACGGTTCCTGAAGTGTTCTCATTCGAGCTACTCTGGCGTGTGATCGTATTGATCGATTGCCGTGTAGAGTCTCGACAAACCCGGTGTATATCTCACGGATGACCTTTTCCGAATTTTTCTCACGTCGAGCCTTTCCCCTCTTCTGGAATTATTCATATTAACGAGTCGATTTTGGACATAAACATGATTAAAATAATGTCCCCGAAGTTACAACGACAAGAAATGTGAAATTCTACCGGGAAGAATTCTACTCTTTTCGTGTTATTTCTAAATCAGCCAGCTCGGTGGAGTTCCGCACCAAATGCATTTAAAAGCCTGCGCGAACGGCACCGAATACTTAACGTCGAAATTCGGCACATTTAATGTTATTCACGAAAGTATCGACAATTAATCCACTCGGTGGAATCGGATAATCGCGATGGAACGGATGGAACGAATGTCGGAAATTAAATTCTACTTTTACGAGTCTCGTGGGCCAGGTCGATAAACGCGTTTAATAATGGATGATCCAAGGTTGCAATGAAATCCGTCGTTCTTCTTGCAAATCAAGCTCGAGGATTCCTTAGGAGGACCTCGAGATGAGTTTACCTCTCGATTCGTTTATTCGATACCTCGATAATCCCGCGAATGCCTCGTTGGTCGGCCAAGTATTGGAAACGGATGAAACGACAAGGCTTCCGGAATCCGGAAATTCCTGTCGGCGTTACTTTATTTCGACTTTATTCCCCCCTTAACTTTGGCGACATCGATGGGAATCGCGACCGAGAAAAAGTTTTAACGCGGTCGCTCAAAGACAATTGTAACTTTCGAGAAAGCGTTTAAACTCGAACCAAGACAAACTGGGAGTTAGACCAATTTGCAAAGTAAGTACACAAATGGAGCGACTATACTCGCGATAGGTAACGGAAAAGTTTGGTACGGGGACAATGTTTAAAGTTTACGAATTCTTCGGGAACACTTTGACTTTGAACTATAGATTGTTGTATATTTCCCATAAATGTAAGTACCGATTAATGGGACCCACTTGCATGATGAAGTATGACTGAAAGTCGAGATTTGTAATGCATTTTGGAACGCGTTTAAGTTTAATTATTAATATTTTTCTAGTTTTTAGTAAGGGTTGACGAGGGGGTAGAGACTGCTTTTGGCAAGGAACCATAAATCAGTAAAGGGGAACCATAAGTGGTCCTTAGCGAGCAGGAGTGGGGAAAAGTTTATCAGTGAAAAGACCCCTGGAAATGGTCCCGGTTTATTAGATTTGATTACGACCGGCTATTATGGGCCCTAAAAATTATATCGTTAATGGAGTCGAGCCGATTTGGCATTATACAATCCTGGTGTCATTAGACCTCGTAAATCGAGCGCGTAATTTCTCTCGCGTCCACGAAAACCTGCGCGAATCACTTTTCCGACGCCATATTGGCATTTCCCGGGAATAATAGGAACGCAGATGAGAACGGAGGACAAATCATTTCCCAGACATTGAATTTCAACGACCCGAGGGAATATTTGTTAAGAAAGGTCGTTCTTTCTTTATTTCGCCTCGACACGTTCCCATACGGAATGCCTTCCGGAATCGTTTCCGAGAGGGTTGCATTCTCGATTCGTCGAAATAAATTTAGGATGCAGATACCGGCCATGCATTATTCACGCCGTGGGAAATTTTTTCCATGTGAAGTGAAACCACGCGAGGAGTGGCAGCCGAGAGAGACGTACCGCGATAAAGAAGGGAGAATTAAAAAAAAAAATAAACAGAGGAACAAAGAGGTATTGCGCCCTGATTTTATGGAATTCATTTCACGTCAATTTAACCCTGGATTAACGTGTAATCCCTTAAAGTCAACGAAAAGGAATTCGCCTTGGATTTTTCTTCCTCATCTTTGGTAAATCCCTGGGGGAGCTTCGAGTCGGACGTGGATGACTATTGCTCTGCCTCTACTACTTACCCCGAAAGGCAAACGAGACGGGAGAAAATTCTCGGTAAAATTGAGATCCAAGATTTAAAGGGAGAAATATGGACCGCGTACTCGATGACGAGCTGTGGGAGTGACTCGGTGCAATCGCGGGCCCGAAAACGTCGTTATCAGTTCGTGATTACGAAAGTGCTGGCCGCGGGGAATAATTTCGAGATATTTCGGCGAAACTTTATTCGACCGCGCGGTGTATAATTGACCATCGTTCGGAATGGCCGAGGCTTTAATTGCAACTAGTGCCATTAAAGCGGAGCTTAACGAATTTTACGAAAGCTTGGAGTACGTGATAGGGCCGCTCGTTTTGAACGTGCTCTTGAATATGTATAGGCAGTTACATAAATCGCAGATGCCTCTCATGAGCGGCTCGTTGCATATTAACCGGGAAAAAGGAGAACCTAAGTAAACCATGGCAACCTCGAGTACCACGACACAACCCAGTCACAAAGGGCCACATCTTCAATTAATCGCGTATAAAATCCCTTGCTGGGGAACGAAACATTCATTTAATTGATAATTAATCCATGGCCGCCTCGAATGGACCGTCGTTTAATGCATTTGAGGCGGCCGTGCATTTTTCCAACGACGCGAGTGAATCGCGCGGAGGTTTCGCATTTTCAAACGACGTTTATGCTATTTAATTGCAGTTTTCCCGGGCGCGCCAGTTAATTTCCACCGCTAGGTTATTTAGTCGATGGAGATTTATTTCCGGGGCTTAATTTGGTTTTCGACCCCCGAAGAAAGGAATTACTCGAAAGCACGAAATGCGACGGGCTTTCGGATCTACTCTTCAATTTGCCAAATTTGACAGTGATCCGATAGATCGATTTTAACAGTCGACATCCCGTTCGTTAACATCCGCGTCCCTATTTATGTAGTCACGGGGTAATGCACGAGTTAATTGATCAATTGATATGGACGATGTGACGCTTATTCGGGAATAAATTAATCACACCCGGAAACTCCGCATCCGCGGACGGATTGCTTTCAACGTGCCACGAGATTAACGAGGTTCTTCATGGAATTCCTCTAAGAGAGAAATCCGGTTGTCTAAACTATGATTTGATCACAATTACTCCGAGGCCTTAATCACTTACTTATCACCGTCATAACCAGATCGACTGGATTAAACAGCCTATCTGTTTCTGCTCCGAAATAAATTTCCCAATAAATTCCCTGGCGAGGATTTACCTATAAATAAATTATACATCGGGTGCACGATGTCAAATTACACGCGCAGCAGACTTGACGTCAATCTGACTATACCGGATACGATTCCTGATGATTAATTCGATGGTAGTTGAAAGTTAATTAACGAGAGTTCTGCAATTCCGGAAACGAGAGCCCTCGATATAAACGCGCTTTCCATATTTCCTTGAAAATGCCCTGGTTTCTGCATTAGTAACGCGACACCTTGCCTCGTCAAGGGAGAGGACTTCTTCTTCGACGAGTAACTCGATCCTCTTCGTTACTTTGTAATTAAACGACTCCGCGATATCCTCGCGTTACAAAAGCGATATGTACTCGTTGCCGGCTGTGCTTGTAACTCGATTTTCCCGTCTCGCGTTATCTCGGATTCTGTAAGGGAATTTTTTTTTGTCATGGAAAGACCAGGTCCTAGAAAATGAAAAAAATAATTGTCGGGCATCTTAAAAATACATGTCTCTTCATTTTTTCAGGACATGTCGGAGTACAAGTGCGAAAATGGCAAGCCTCCTGTCTACGTCCCGCACAAGCCCGTTACGGGAGTAATAGGAGCTTCCTTCAGTGTGGTTTCCATCATGGTGGCCAATATCTTGAGGCTCTTTAAGGTAAGGAGGTCTCGAAGACCTATGAAACAGAGTCGTGGATCTTCGCCGCTCTCGAGGCACTGAAAGAAACTCCTAGGAGCTTGTGTACACTTTCGAGTGCATTCGGGAAAAGGAAAGAAAACTGGCTCTATTCTTCGGAGGTGCATTACGCTGTTTCGAGGGCGGAAGTGGATCGCCCGATTGCCCTCAATTTCCCTCAATTTTGCTCCCCTTTAGATCCTTTACAATCTTTTATTTCTCCCATTGTTTTATTCTCCCACGTTTAGTGCCTCCAAAGTATCGCTGGAATAATTCAACGAATTATTTATCGAATTAGCCAGTGGAAATCGCGATGAGCGGTGAACACCTCGTATATGTGTGTATATATTTTTTTTTTATGTACACATAAAATTGATATAGACGCGTGCGTGTGTTCGTCATTGATTGATGCCCACCGCCGATAGACTCTTTCATCGACTTGATTATGGCTGAATGGTTCTTAGGGCAAACTCGTGCCAAAAATAGAGGGAAGCAGAAGAGGGTCGCAAGCTCCAAGTTCAAACGAGAAAGAGGAGCCGTACGTGCTGAATCTCGAAAGCGAGTTATCGATTCGAAAGTCCGAGCTTCCCGTTCGAGATTCACGAAACGCGGTCGCCAGCTGATTTCCATTTTGCCGGCCGACCACGCGGAAATTACACGCTTCGTGAAATAGGCCCTTCTTCTGCTCGTCGAGTTGTCGGGATTATCGAGTTGTCGGGTTGTCATTCGCGAGCCGACGAGCTTTGCTTTAGCCGTAGCCGAGTAATTCGAGCGGCTTTAAAATCCTGCATTTTTTTCCCAAAAATTCCCGCTTTAGGCAGCTATCCCCTGGAACGATACAATTCCGTTTTCGAGGTGAATTTCATTTTACGTTTTCCGTCCGCGGAATCGCGGTTACTCTTTGCAAGGGGGCGAATTAAAATAACATGGTTAATAGGTGGAATGAAGAAGGACTAATGACGATGGGGATAATTAAATGAGAGGTGGAGAGGGAAGATTCTTAGTGTATCCTGGCGAGTGAGAAGCCAACGGAGACAGGAGGGTATTAAAGAAGGAAATTACGCTGAGTAATTAGGAGCGCGGTACGGAGCTATGTAAACGGAGGGCCGTCGTGCACGAGGCTCGGTCTTTCTGAAATGCAATTTTTGAGATTAATTCCCGAGATGAAAGATCTCTGATTTAGAGTCATTCATCGAGCCTGAGGACGTCTTCGACGACGGGTCCGTGCGGAGCACTGTGGACTTTTTGGGAAACTTCTCCTCTTGGAGCACACACGTGCTCCTAGGATTTATTGGTACCCTCGGATTGGTATTCAAATCCTGGGGAGAAATTCAAATCGGCCGATCGCGAACTCTCCTCTAGGTAAACCCTGGCGAGTAAACTTCAAGGCTGGGGAAGTCACTTTTAGTTTCGAGTCACCCGGTCAACATCTCTCCTGGATAAGGCTCTTTAAACTTTAACTGATAAATCATTGTATACACATCTGGGGAAATTTAACCTGATTAAGAATGCAGGGAAGGTTCCTCGAAATTAAGAAGGGAGGGATTTAAAAGAAGTCCTCCGTATGCAAGAGGTCCACTCTCTGCAAGATGGCCACTCGAAATTCTCGGTGCATCACCGAACTTGGAGAGGGAGGGCAGTAATTGCATCGGCAATGCATGGCCGGAGTAAAACAGCGGAAATGGGAAAATTCCCCGGAAATCGAGCCGTGAAATATCCCGATGCAACAAAATACAACCGCCCGCCCCTCATTTCTGGGGATTTTCTGCATCGCGCACCCTCGACGTCAAAAGTGTCACCGTTCCGCGAGGGCATTTCTCACGGCCAACAAATGGCACAATTTTCCGAACGATCGCGACTCGTCATCTCGGCAGCCTCAGTGAAAATTCGAATCTCGATATCATTTAATGATCACTCAGTCGCGAGCGACGTTCGTTGCGGTTTTTCACCGACACAGGAGAAATCGGGATAAAAGACGTTCACTCGTGAATCTTTCCATCTTCATGCAAGATCGGATTATATTTCTTTTCGCATTTCCGCCCGGAAACGTCCGCCTCCTTGTTCGGAACTCCTCGCAGACGTTTTGATTCCCGCGAATGGGAATTGCGGGGTATTTCAATTGCGCAGAGACGTCGCCGAAGGGAATGCTCTCCTGGGGAATTTCGCGTTTCCATCAATACTCGATGCACTCTTAGATTTCTTCCGGCAAAAACGGCGGACTCCAGAGCCCGGGAGTTTACTCTGGCTTGTGAAAAATTAATGAAAAAGGAGGTCAACGCCGACGGGGTTAGATCGGACTGGAATCGTCCTCTCCACCTCACCAGAAATGAATGGAACGGTTAAAGAATTAATTTTCACGATGTTTCCCATAGGTTGACGGAGGAACTGCATAAATGCGCCATTATTGCTCGACTCTCGCTGGCAGGCGTCTTGAAACGACCGAAAATTGCGCATTTGACGGAAGGGTGCGTGTTAACGAACGATTCCCTCCCTTTCCAGATCCCGCAATTAAGCTACGCCTCGACGAGTACCGAACTATCGGACAAGACTCGCTTCGAGTATTTCAGCAGAGTCGTACCTCCGGATAATTTCCAAGCCCAGGCTATGGTGGAGGTGATTCACCTTCTGGGATGGAAATACGTGTCCACGGTGGCGGTCGAGGGCGATTACGGCGAAAAGGTAAGTCTTGCATTTCCTGGGTTCATCCAGATTAAGATGATCAGGATCCCCCTGCTTCGTTGAGGCAGGTCGGAGTCCTCCGGGATATCCCGATTTACAGAGCGTGCATGACGGGGCACGTAGAGTAGACTGAAAACATTTTCCCTGAACAAGGAATCCCGAGATTTACTGCACCCCGCGAGATCCACCGAGATCAGGACAGATCCCTTGCAACGGCTCCTCGGCGAGACAAGTGCAGTTCAAGTGCGGATTTCCTCGATCTTACATGAGAAGTTGCATCCCTTGATGCGTTTCTTATTCAAGGACAAAGTGTACCTGGTACTATCAGATTTGCATAATACGAGATATCGCGTGAAAATTTACATGCAGTATTTCGTTGTCGCTTGATCCTTGAAACGTTGTCCAGGAGGCTGCGAGTAGCAATTAGCAGTAGCGGCTTCAGGATGGGATGTTGCAGGACATCAAAGCGGCATACCGCAATTCCGGTAATTTCCGACTACTTAGCGTAATGGATCATTACAATTACCCGAGGGTTCATCTTTAAAGGTCCCGCAGAAATGGCTCAGTCGATGCAGTCGAAACCAAATCCTGGGAGTGCAACCTGCTGCACCGGCCGAGTGCAGCCTCTATTTTGCCGTGTGCAACTTGCGAAACGTAATCCGCGTACTAACCTCCGCCACGCACAAAGCCCCATTGAATTCCCGGCCGGACGTTTCAAAGCCCGATATTCGATTCTTTATCCCCATGTAATGCTCTTTGTTTCTCGGGGCGAGCTAATTTTTTACCTCCGCCGGGCTCTTTGTTATCCGACTTATTAATATTCATGTTCCACTCGGACCGCGTGGATCAATAATTCAGGGCAGAGCGTGAGTTACACAATTACGAGCAGAGGTAATCTGCAAAGAAGTAATCTCTTCCCCGGAGAGTTAAAAATATTTTTATTCCCAGAGAGGGAATCGGATCATGATTTTTTCATGGATTACGTTCATGCGATTGGGAGGAATAAAGGCGCGTTTTCAATTAATGGCTCATTACAGGCCTTATTGGCAATGGCGAGCACGGTGATCGGACCTGGCCAATTAAATCGGGAAATAATCCTGCGATATGGAGGAATCGTTGCAAGGAGGCACAAAGAAGGTAATTGCAGGAATTGAAGTTAAGTGAACATAACTTCGGGAGGGAAATAAGCTGGAAAACGTCCCGAAAGAGGTGGAATTGCTTAACGAAGCTCAGTTTCTTCAACAACTGCTCGGCCCACTTTTCTTGGGTCTCTTTGAGATCCTCGACCACCTCGAAAGGAAAAAGAGGATTATGCATCCTTGTCCTCTCTTTCCGCAGCTCCTCGACCCTTAATTCATCCCCGGGCATACATATTTATTACGATCGAGCATAATGGCCGGGCGATAAAAACGCAACAGAGGCCGCATAATGCCGCGAAAATATTCCGCGACGATACAGACCTGCGCAACTGGCTGCAATTAATTTCATTTAATTACGCGGGGAGGCTCGCTCAGGACGACTGTCCTTATTGCGCTGAATTTACTGCCTCGTTTCTGCCCAGGACGGGGCAAAAGTTACCTCGATATCTCGACGTAATGTTTGATTTTCATTTCCCCTTTGCCAACACGTACGGGGGATGGAAAAATAATCCCACGTCGGCCGGATTTCCGGGGAGCTTCGCGATAATTCCAGGATTTTTAAAAAGCTCCCTGGTTATCGAGAAGAAAATCACCCGTCGAGAAATACCCGTAATTAGATTAATTAATTGAAAAAGAAGGGAGCTCTCGCTCGCGGATCTTGGGAGAAGAACCGAGGCCATCGATGGCGCTCGTCGATGATTCAACTTGACGAGCCGGTAATGAAAATTGAAAACACCATTTTGATCGGCTCCGCAGGAGCTAATTAATTGGCGCACTCGGCGAGCTCGTTAAAAACCAATAACAAAGTCGGCCGCCGAATTGTGGATTTATTCGCCGCGCAATCCCGTGGCCTCCTCGGTTGCAGACTGACAAAGTGCACCGGGATAAACTCGGGATCATTGCTGGAGGCTCGCGCCTCGATTTCGGGAGAAAAGGAACATTCCGAGGAGTTCTTGAAACCTTGCCAAAGTGTCGAGTCTAAGAGAAAATGGGCCCTTTTTGGCTGACCCCTCGAGCAGCCAGGATATTGCCACGAGGGTCGCGTTAATACCTCGGTCGGCCGATAATTGATAACAGAAAGGTGACTGTTAGGTGCGAAAAGAGGGGACGAAAATTTGTTCCTCAAGACTGGGGATTTCTTAGAGGGGAGAACCCCCGTTCAAGTTAGTCGGATAATCGTCGGTTTTTCAAATTGAATTTTCTCCTCCCCCGGCGTATCTTGAGGAATCCCAAGGGGTGGACCGGAAGGGGAATCATAGCAATCAGATGGCCACCAAACTTCACCCTAATCCTGGGATTTAAAGGTATCCTTTCCCCGTTCAATCCCTGTTTTTGCATACGATCGCCTTCTCGATTCCTCGCAGGCTGTAGTTCGCCCGTTTCTAAGATAAGTTCGAGACAAATGGCTCAATGGTCGAAAAAAGATGTCGCGCGGCGTTTCGATTTCAGGGCAGCTGAAAGGAGTCTGGGACCCTGTTCATTAAATCGGTGTTAAGGGATCTTGCCCGTCGAGATTGATAACGGCGGTGAGTCGGGAAGAAATAATCGAAGAAAGTTAAATTAAATCGGCCCTGCGACGGAGCCCGATCGCAAGATTAATGGTCAACGGGGAGAAAAGGTGGATGAAAACCGGGAGTGACTTTTCACTAGGCTCCTGTCCGATATCTTTAATAACTTGATCATCCTTGACATCTTGCGAAGTCAGTCATTTCGGGCGCCGACTTTTGCAGTGACCGATTCGACGAGCTGGAAGGAAAGATCACGCGCCGGAAAGAATGAGTAAAAAATGGAGATGCAAAAATCGAATAAACGTTGAAAAGGCCGTATCCCCACCTCCGCCCTCCCTTCCTCAGTCGTCGAAGAAGTTTGATAACATTTTCGAACGCCTTGAATCGAAGATTGCCCGACCAGATTACCCGAGGAAGGGGGAGGGGGATATTTCGAAATCTCCGGAGCACGTTTCCGGAGTTGCTGAAAAGGGATCCCGGGAAGAGAGCAAGAAGTAAGTCGGGGGAAGTCTTCTCGAGGAAGAGCGAGAAAGTCCGAAAGTCCAGGTTTGGGCTCCTCCAATCCGGAGCGAGAGGGCCGAGGAGCTGAAGAGGAGGTGAAAACCGGGCAGCGAGAAGAGTCGTGAAACAAAGGGGTCGTTTTCTCCCTCCGGTGGTTAACAACGGGGGTAATTTAATCTGCGAGCGGTACACCTTCTCCCCTCCTTCGACCTTCTTTCTTTGCAGTTAGGCGAAGGTCCTCAACCGCGACACAAAGGACTCTTGGAAAATGTTACGTCCCCTTTCCTCGAAAACTGTGACATCTCTATTTCTGCTCGGCCTATTGTCGAGACCCCTTCTACGAGTTGATCCTTCTGTCGAAGATATACCCTTTCTCCTCCGGTTCTCTTCATTTACCACTTTCTTTATCTTCTTTTCCGAGTTTAGAGCGAAGCCTTCAGCATATGTCACCTTACTCTTGTAACATATGGTATGAGATTTGTACTTATTTAATTTAAATGCCGCCTCCCATGTGGTTGAAAGCAATACCTCAACTGCCTCAGAAAAACCTTTCACTACATTTTCCATGTCTGACTCTTACACCAAGGAAAAAAGTCCATTGAACCAAGGAAATGTTTTGTTAATTCCAAGACTTTGTCTCAAATAAACTGAAACAAATTGTCGTAATTCCGAAGATACGTTGCGTCCAATTTATTCCACCTTATTCGAGTCAAGCAATTACTCTTTGATTTTACAAAATACTTCTTAGGTACTATTCGAAGAAATATCTCTTTGCTTCTTTTCTTTCCGTGGATCTTTTTATCATTACGTTATCGAAATGGCATATAGAGCCCTTCAGTTCGTATCATTCTCAACGTAGACTGTAAAAGACTTCAACGTAAATATAAACGTCGGTAATGGAACGCGCCAATTTATGTCACCACTTGAGTATTCAAAACGGCATTACCACCAAAAGGGGTACAGATAAATTTTACTTTATCGACGTCGATTAAATATCTTAGAGCCTTTCTTATCCTCTTAAATTTTCATTCCGTGGGGTTCCTTCCTCCCTACTCTTCTGCTTTGGTATCTATGTCTATTATCATTGCATTCGCCTCCTCTAAGTCATCATCGAGTCCAAGCGCCAAGATGGCGGCGGCATCGTGAAACCATCGATACGGGATCCGCAAGGTCTTGCCATATCTCGAGGGAAAGGGTTACGTCCAAACAGTCTGAGAGGAAATGGCGGAATGAGAGCTGGCGAACGATCGGCATCGAGCAAGAGGCGACTTTGTCGAGGTTGGCCCTGAAGTCGCGAGAGGGTCGGAGGTTAAAGGCGGCCCTGGAAACGGCGGAAGAAGCGTTTCGAAAGATTGAATCGCACCCGCGAGCGACGTTACCGACGAATCGAGCTCGATAAAGGCGACGTCGACGTCGACCGGCCAATCGGCGACGTCACTTTTCACCCGCGGAATCCCCGCCGCATAACGCGGACTTTATCGCGCCAGTTTACACGGTGATTGGTTCGGAAACCGCGCCGGAAAGGAAGGAAGAAACCTGAATGATAGAGGGACAGTTAAGGTGATATGAAAGTGTGATATGTACGCAACAAAAAGTGAAAATAATTATAAAACTTTTCTCCAAACTGGGTGCACCGAATTATCTGAGACTTTAATGCGTGATTATGGAGGCCCTAAGGAATAACGCTCGTGAAATTTCTTTTCTCGAGAAAAATTTTGTACTTCTCTCGAACAAGAACCAAAGAAAGATATTTTTTTCTTCGAAAAATATAACTTCACGGGCAGGGCGTTCTTCCTTAGAGCCTCCATAATCACGTGTTAAAGTGTTTGGATAATTTGGTGCACCCAGTTTGGAGAAAAGTTTTATTAATCCTTTGACTTTTTGATATGTATATGTCACACTTTCATATCACCTTAACGCTTTTCAGACAGACGCCTACGCGAGATGAACGGGGGTTCTAGAAAATGAACGAACAGATATGCACGATTTAAAAAAAATAGGGGAGCCTAAGTGAAGCCTCATCTACGGATAAGTAACTTGCAATACTATTTGCTAGAGCTGCTCGCTGGTATGATTACGCTATCAACGAATCTCCAGTAAACGAATTCTGTGACAGGGGTGTTAAGAAAAAAGAACTCGATTGAGAAATCTTTCATGAGAAAAATCTTCGAAAGATAGATATCTTTTTCCCTTCTGCTACTTTATTTTTTTATTTTTTGAGTCACCCACGAAATCGAAACTTGCAGCAAGGATTTCGAGATAGATTTAAAATTGCCTTAACAAATTAAGGTTTTAATCTCGCAAGTTAATATGTACAAACACGAGTTTTTCTTGTAAAAAACTGGCAAGTGTTTGCAGGGTTAGGGCAAGCATTCGCGCAAATTCGCATCCGAAACTGTATACATTATCTGCAATAAATGTTCGAGAACGCCTCCGGCAAGTTATCCTCCTCCATGGACACGAGCCTTTGGGATAGAACTTCTCGGATATCGGAGTCCCGACTAATCGTCGGAAAGGGATCGAATCGACGCTCCAACTTCCCCGATCTCCCCGAACTGCGTATATTTCTGTCCCTACAGATAATAAAGGTTACGAGGACTGTAAAACGGCGCCGGGAATTGATACGTCGCCTCTGCATCCGGCGGACTTGAACGAGTTCTCGCGCCGAAGGGGTTACACCCGTCGAATAAAAGTGATAAAAGTTCCTTTACTAGAGAGATAAACGAGCCGTCTCTACCTTGATGGATCTCGAAAGACCCTTCTGTAACCAATTACCTATGCAAACGATAGTTTGATACCCGGTTTCCGAGGTCGGCGCTTAGGGAGTACAAAAGCGCGTTTTGATTCCAGGGCATCGCGAGTTTCATCGCCCTTTCGATGGAGTACAACATTTGCGTGGCGGTGAGCGAAAAGATCCTGAGGAACGCAAGAGCCGAAGACTTCGACCGCATAGTGGAACGCCTCAGCACGAAACACAACGCCAGGGTGGTGGTACTCTTCGTGGACGAGGACAACATCCGGTGAGTTTCGTAAAAACATGCAACCACCCTGCGGATAATTCATTAGACGGCCTAAAAAAATCCCCGACCTTCATCGCATTAAAAGAAGCCCAACTCCAAGTGGCACTTTTCCCACCCTGAGAAAAAAGCTCAGTGGATTGAAATAGACCATATACCTTCGGCATTTACATCGTAGCCCGAGTTATACACAATTGTGAGAAATCATTTTCTTAAGAATGAAGAAATGGCTGTCGGCGATTTAATTGTTGATTTTTAATCATTTTATTTACTGATGTTTGTCTGATGTTCCTCTTCGGACGGAGGTGATCGCGGGGTTTTTTTCCTGCAGGGCGTAGTTCTTTTTGTCCATTTTTTTTTCTTCTCAGGGCTGGATTACGTATCGCCGTCATTCTGGTCGTAATTATGGGAGAGCGAGGCACATTCGACGGGTCGAAAGAAAATAAGGGTGCGTTTATGGGGCAGTAACGAGCGAATCGCGAGAAAGGCGAGGTCCTTAATCGTCCCCTTGTTCGATCTTGGATGGGGAGGGATGCTGCGACCTCCTCGCTGCGCCTGGCTACAGTTCCTTCGTTAATTCTCCCCGAGGTGCTCCCTCCCGGGCCGGATAAGTTGGGGCCGAAGTAAGTGCATAATTAGATACGCGGCAAGATCGCGCCTCTTCTTCGCGGCGGTAATGAAGAAGTTTATGGGGTAGCTCGGGCTGTGTACGTGGGTCTTGCGTGGGAAAAAGAGGGAATAACGGAGGGACGAAGACGACGGCCGGCCAACCTTTTAGAGGCTGTTCATTTTACCCGGGCCTCCATTAGGACGCGCACACGGAGACATTTATCCGCGTGTTCGCCTGCCGGGCCTCTACAAACAAGGGCTTTTCTTACCCACTCAACTTGGGAGAGGAGCTTAACGGTTACCAGGCAACTTCGATGGTGACACCCGGTGAGAAACGATTCCCGCTTCCGAGAGTCCTGGCTCCTTCTTGGCAGGCATCCGCTAAACGGACAGGATTATCGGACCTGGCCTCTCAAACTTGAGAGGAGATCCTGACTTTTCGTGTCAAGTGAATGGTCGATTTTAGCCAATCTCCATACACATAAGATTTTCAACCCTCGGGGTGAACATTTTATTCCACCTTAAATAGTGGGGAGCGGGAAACCGATGTTCTTCGTAGACACGATTTCTTTTTTTTAGAAAATCTGACCGTGCTTCCATAAAGTTCGATCAATTTGGTAGAAAGAACATCTCAATCATTTTGTCCAGAAAAGTGCACAGTTGTCGAGATATTCGGAGTCGAAAATCGCTTGGAGTCAATTTGATCCCATGGGCACTTAACGATTCGCTCCGAAGGTGCGCACCCTATGGGTTAAGGAGCTATATCACTGTGAGAATCGAAAAAATGACACATTTTTGAGGCAAAAGTATGAGTTAAAATTAAACTTTTACAATGGTCGAAGTACGGGCGATAGCTATGCTTTTGCTGAATATAGTGCTAAAATTCGAAGCCGATCGGTTGAGCCGTTTTTGAGAAATTACCTGCGCTAGATGCAAACCATTTTTTTTAATAGTCTACGTTTATATTAATAAATAAATCAATATGTATTTTTTACTAAAAAGAAAAATTTTCCCGTACTCTTCTACATTAGACCTTTCATGGAAAAAAAAAGTTCGTGCCATTATATGCGGTACTTTTTGAGAATAAAATTGTCAGAAATGTGTAATTTCTTCGACGTTGCAAATGTAGATCAAGGCTATCATGGTCTTGGTCCTGTATTCTCGAGTCTCGGACTTGATCTTGCATTTTTTGAAAGACCAAAGCCAAGATTTCGAGATCAAGGCCGATTTTGCTGGTCACTAGTGGAGACCTTGGTTGGCCTTCCATAATGTACTTGGCCTCGCGACAAGACCCCGACTTTTAATATCGATTCTAGCCAGTCTCTGCTAGTATAAGATTTTTAAGAGGGAAGGTGGACCACCTACCTGTAGGACGGGAACCTCGGTTAATCTCTCTTGACGTGTAATACCTGTCGAGAGGAATCAACCCAAGAGAACGAACCTCCCCGAAGGCGCGTCAACAATGTAATCTCAGCGAGGCCGGTTATTCATCATGAAGTGTACGGAACCTCGTTTGATAAGCTTGATTAATTACCATCTCGCGTTATTTTTAATCGGCAGTGACGTGGGACGGCGGATCGCAAACGTACCCTCTGAACCCCAAAGTTCCGGTCGATCGTTCACGTTCGATCGTTTGCAGGGACGAATTCGGCAGGATCGGTGTCCCCTGGATCGGGCTAAGGAAATTGAGGAGGAGCCATCCATTCATCGGAACAGGTCGAGTGCATTAGGTGCACCCAATTAATGAGCCCGCGTTATGGTCAAACTTTCGCGATGGGACGAATGCCCCGAAACAATGGTGCCATTGTACCGCGGGATAATAGAGAAACGTCCGCGAGCACCATTACGATTTTCTTCCTTAACGGCTCCCCAAAGATCCTTGATCGCGCGATATCGAGCCGTGATATCTCTTTCCTCGGTTTATTTAAGAGCAGCAATGGACCCTTGGTAAATCTCGAAGCCAGACTCGCTAGCGCTCCGATTTCGAAAGCTCGGTGGCCAATCGACAGTTATCGATAGTTGGGAGTTACGGAACTATCGATGCCGTGCAAGTTTATTACCCAGCATGGCGCCGTCCTAGATGTGGGGGAAACATTTCTGTCGAGAGAAATTCCAAATTCAAGGAGAACCGCCCCGAGCTGGAAGCAGAGAAAAAAGAATCAAACGGCTCCTCGGTTATTCGCGATCCTTTCCAAGTTGTCCGGCCGCACATTAAGGTGATATGAAAGTGTGATATATACATACCAAAAAGTCAAGATATATTATAAAACTTACCTCCAAAACTGGGTGCACCAAATTATCTAAAACTTTAACACGTGATTATGGAGGCTCTAAGGAAAAACGCGCTGCCCGTGAAATGTCAATCATCAAAAGAAAATATATCATTCTTCGGCTCTTGTCCGAGATAAGTAGAAAATTTTCTTCGAAAAAAGAAATTTCATGAGCGTTACTTCATAGGGCCTCCATAATCACGTGTTAAAGTATCAGATAATTCGGTGCACCCAGTTTGGAGAAAAGTTTTATGAATATTTCGACTTTTTCTTATGTATATATCAGACTTTCATACCACCTTAAGTCGTCCGGCATGTTTAGTTAATCCTGATTCGAGAAGTATTTAATTTTCATTTCGATATGGAATTACCGATAGAGGATGTGGAGTTTCCTGCGGCTATTAGCGACGAATTCAAGCCTGGAGCTGTCGGGCTTTCAGGGGAAACGAAACGTCACCTGACGCCGAAGTCTCCCCCTCCATCCAGGGGAGGGAAAATCGAGCATTTTCCACATAGCCCGAAACCGGACGAGTCCTACAGCGCGCAGGTGAACTCGATCAGGTGCAACGTGACGGTGCAAGTGCGCCGCGTCGGCCCGTAAAGTGGCTCGTGCTTTTCTGGTGAGAAAAAGAAGCTCGCGACCCGGACAAAAGCTCCACCCTAGTTTCGACGATCCATTCCGACTCTTTCCAGGGAAACAAGGTTGCACAATCCCGTAAACACGAGGCGTATCGACTTTCAATTCCGCCAGGAATTGAGAGCGCCCATTTTCTTCTCCCAGGAGGAATTAAGGGAAAAGGGGAAAAATATCGCATTTACTCGAAAAGAATTACTCGTTTTTTTTTTTTATTTATTCCGAGGAGGAGAAGGATCGTGGGAACTCCTGAGGCGGTGGTGAACTCGCGGGGTAAAAAATCAGCCTGGAGCCCCCTTGAGCCTGGGGCTTGGAAACCGATAAAGTCCCTAGGGATCGCTGCTCGGCTTAGCCAATCAGGGCTCCTCTTCCCTTCGAGGCCCTAAGGAACCCGGGTTGCCTCCGAAAACTTCCTGGGGATTACGCCGGATATAAGGCTCGATCCCAATTTGCGGCGGTATGCAAATTGTTTCGGCTCGAGAGCTCCGCCGAGGAGCTCGGGTCTTTTGCTGAAAGTCGCGAATTTCGGACCCGTAACGCCCCACGGTACAAATTGATTCGCGAGTGGCCATTGAGCCGCGAAATTCGAAAAGTCTGGAAAGTTTCGACTCCCGGATCGAGCCGAAACGTCCCGAGAGGAAATTCATCGGTGCGCAGGTGTATTTCAGCGATTACCTGTCGTCACGTATGTGTCCCCTTCCCACCACAAGGGAAACAAAGTTGCGCGGTACCTGCGCGGAATCTCGGAAAAAAGTTCAATTTCCATTCGCAGGGAAAGTTCCGAACTCCAATAACCCCCGAGCCTTCTGTTCTCTCGCGAACTGCCAGGGAAAAGTTTCGATCTCAAAAACAGCGGAACGAGGGGCGGTAAATATCGTTTAGACCTGATCTCGCGGTGAATGAGATGGAAGAAGGGAATAAAGATGCGAGGCTTTCAAGGGGATTAAAGGCACGTCAAAAGGTGCACTGGCTGCGCTCGAAATGAACAGCTGAAATTTCCATCCCTGCATTGGCTCGCTCTTGCTGCGCGTTTCCGAAAATCGGGCATTTTACTCTGGGCTGTATATTTTTTATAAAAAATACATCTCGACCCTCATTTTCTGGGGAAGGACCGCGATTTCGAAATAATATCGATTCCCATCTCGTGGAGTATTTTTAATCCGTCACCCCCTGCGCTCTCCTGGGATTAGCGTAGACATTTCCGAGCTTTTCCCTGCGTAGTCGGGCTCGACCGAAACCGAAGTAATTCTCGGATTTTCTCTTCCTCGCCCCCGCCGATCCCCAAGTTTCTCCGCGCAAATCCGCGGCCTGTTCGCAATGAAATTCGCAGGCAAAGCCGGAGAAAGCGTGCTTCCTGGCGACAGGACAAACTTTGCCCTCCCGGAATGGCGACGAGCTTTGCAAACTTTGCTCTGCGAGGAACTCGAGTATTAAAGAACCGCTGCGTCGGTATTGCTCTTCATTTTATGCTCATGTCGTCATGCCGTATC